TAGTGAAGTTTTTTATTCTCAAATTGTCAGCTAAGGTTACGGTTCTTCATGCCAGCTAAGGCAGTTCTTTAAACGCAGCCTGGGATATCTGATCCCACAGGCTGTGTAACTGTCAGCACAGTGCTGAGGAGCCAGCAGGCCTCAGGGATACAAAAAAGTTTTCATTTCTTTGGAAATTAGAACCAAAAAAATGAGGACATGCATTTTAAGAACGTGTTCTACCATTAATAAAGCCTGTGCTAGAGTGTCTTTTATATAAAACATAATTTTCACCATTTTATGAAGGAAGGGGCCAGCAAATACGTGGGCTCAGAGGTCCTGATGCAGACCTGGTGCTTGCCAACCCTGACTTTCAGAAGGTTCTGCCACCTGTCAACCTGTCAGTCATTCCCAGAGTCTCTCTGATCCTCAAAAACAGCAACTGTCATTCAATATGTATTTGTAACACTCAATAAAAGCTATGTTTTGGGGGATCAAGGGTGTAACTGCTAACTGCCCCTAGAGGGCTGCAGATGAGTGGTGGAAACAGATCACAGTGCAGGAAGCAGTCGGACAATTGCTGAGCACAGGGGACCCAGCTGAGGCTGAAGCTGCGTCAGTCACTGGGGCCAGGAGTCAGCAGGGTGATGGCCTCAGCAACACTTGTGGCCCTGGACAAACACTGGCAAATGAATGATTGTGTAAATCCGTATTTGAAAAAGAAGTCAAAAAGATTTATTAGAAGGATAAGGAGGCTTTGCTGGGAGCAAGGTTGTGATGTGGTGAACCAACACGGTCATAATGGGCAGGGAGAACAGGGAGCCAGGGTAGGAGCAGGCAAACCTGGACGCTCAAATGGGAGGGGGTGGTGGTGGTGGTGGTGATAATGCTGATGAGGAGACTTAACATTGGTAACTCAGCAGAATCCTTAGAATGAAGCTGAGGACTCCAGGAAATCCTAATTAATGACTTCATTCCAGACAGAAAGGAAATCCCTGCAGGGAGCATGAGAAGATGGGGCTCCTGATTGGCATGTACTAGTGCAGAAGGTCAGGCCAGGATCTGCTCACACCGTCCTCACAGAACTCACCACAGGGCATTTTCTCCTCTGCTTACCCAGCTCTCCTACTGTTCAGCAAGTTGTTTAGAGGCCAGGCCTGGCTGGAATCTTGCTCCTTCATGTGCGACTCTTGTTGATACTCAGGAAAGAGGAGAAAATGAAATACTAAAAGGCTCATCCATGTCATGACTAAAATGTCAATTTGGGTTTATTTGTGTGACACCATCTACACTGGCTGCTGTTCTGCTGGGGCGTCTCACACATGCTCACTGTCTGAGAAAGGAGCTTTGATTCACCACAAGTCTGCAACTGAATACCAGTATTGATTAGAGGAATATGAGAGATTTAATAAGCTCCTTCAAGGAGAGAGAGAGAGAGAGAGAGAGAGAGAGAGAGAGAGAGAGAGAGAGAGAGAGAAACTACAGAGGTATAGATCTATGTCAGATCCC